CAGGCCTGCTGCTCTTCCCCATGCGGACACTGCGCCGTGATTCACGTGAGCGGGCTGACTGGAAGGCAGAGTCAGATGAGTCAGAGGCATGAATGTCTTCTCCCTGGCTGCAGGCCTTTGAGCAATAAATGCGACCCTGCTTTGGCAGCAAGGGACAGCCCAGCAAGGATGTCTTGCACTGGGCACAAGAGAAGCACTGGTCTGTGGCATGCCAGTGTACACCTTCAAAGGTCATCTGGGCATGGTCAACACCTGAAAAAAGATGAGGTGAAGAGAAAAGGAATGTTACATTTGATATAGCACTTCAATACGAGTATTCAAAAAATCACTGACAATCTTGGTTTCACTCTTGGGTATAAAACATTTAGTTCTTTATTCTAATCCTAAAATATGGATAATTGGAAATGGGAAAAGGAAAGCAAATATCTTCTAGCACATCAAATGCAACTTACCAATGTTTTCACCACAGGCCTCACAATACTCTGCATACAGTGTCTCAAAGCAGCCACAGCAGTAAGCCTGGCCATCTTTCATGATGTAGCGCTGTCCACCTAGCATAGTCTCGCACTCAAAGCAAGCAAAGTGCTTCATGTGCCAATGGCGACCCTCTGCTTCAGTGCATTCATCTGCAAAGATGATCTAGAGGGGAACATGCATACCACTGTTTTTTTAGGAGTCGTTTGGAGCTCTGGATTCTATAGATACTGATGTTTCCATGGTTCACTGTAAAACACAGTAGTGGAAAATGCTACTATTACTGCCACTTACCTCATCACAAGAGGAGCATCGTGGTTTGAGAAGCTCAGCATGGTGTCTTCCACAGAGGATCTTGCCATTTTGGTAGAAATATATCAGATCCACCAGCAGTTCTTGACACGTGGCACACACAAAGCATGCTGGGTGCCAGCAGGGGCTTGGCCCTGCTCTGGAGGCAAAAATTGCCATCTCCCCTCCATTGATGCCTCCTCCACACTGGCAATCAAACACAAGTAAGAGATGATCCATGTGAGTACTATTTCAGGCACTTTGTTGGTGCAGTTTTACAAAGTGGCTTACAATGAAGAGCGGAGTTCACATTCATCATGAAGTCTATAGCCTTGTTTATATGATTATCAATAAATCTGGCGATAAGTATGTTACCTTGACTTAAACCGGAGAGATAAACACAGAAAAAGCGCATAAATGTATGACATTTCAAAGTAGATGTGATACAGTCGATGCCAATGCCACAAGAGGAATGCAAGGCATTTGTTTGTTTTATTTGCACTCATGCTAAACTGAAGGGCAAACGACAGGTGATCATAATATAAGCAGCAAAGAAATACAATCCATTCCACACATCATTGAATCCTGCAGTGATGGCAGTTATCACAGAAATACAGCAACAGTTGATAACACAGGCACAGTGAAATGTAATATTTTCAAGGCAACAAAAATGGAGCTTGCTATTAAAAACTCACTTATTTGTGATGCCCCCATGTTTTCTGAGTTAAACCTTTTGTATTAACGTGGGCATAAATACACAATAATGATTTTGTATGGATTTTAATGGATTAATCAAAAATCTAACCCTTTTAGTATAACTGCATTACAAACAAAGATAGCACAAATGCTAAATAAAAAACTCTTTGTCCTTTTTCTGTGCTTTATTCAGTGGCTGTCACATTTTGGTATATAAATTAATAGTTATTCACTGGATGCTGCTGAAAAATTCTCTGGGCCTTGGTCCAAAGTTGAAATATTGTATGACTCCACAGAGGTTGTCAAATCGTGTCTGAACATGCAATCGGAACTCTTTTTTTAATTCCCAGCAGAGCTATGAAACAACCCATAGGCACCTATGGAATAACATGCACAGCTGTTAGCCATTATTACCATAGTGGACAGACAGGGGCCTTGGATACAGGGTTTTGTATGTCCCTGGGAAACTAGAGCTTGACAGAGTGTGTGAGTGCACACCAATGTCTCCGATATATCTTTTTGAATACTCAAGCCTGTGCAGAATGTTTGCATGAACAAGTGAACAAGTGGGTGGCTTCAGATTAATAGTGCGTCATTGCAAAGCATATGAAAATACGCATGCATGTCCAGTATGTCTAAGAATGTTTTCTT